TTGAATGGAAAAGAAGATGGAAAATGAAATGGAAACTGGGATTATATGGTGGATTATAGGTGTTATAGCCTAAACTCCTGGTATCCCCTTCAATAACCCCTGGAGTAGTCCACAACTGTACATTATCCCCCCTAAAACCCCCTTTAACGGGGTAAAGACCCCCAACCCATTTTGCATCCATATAACCCCCTTGAAAAAAATGGGCTGCAGCTCATGTGACAGTGCCGTCGAGTCACACCAAGAGCCAGCAGTGCCTGCGCACACTGGACGAAAGAAATATTCATGATATTGTACTTGTAGCAATAAGGACAGTATTAATCATAATAATAGCAATAATGTAATACTAGTCTCTTGAAGGCGCCTTCCTGTTGTCACGCTTCTATCGGTATCGGACTACTGCTGCCAGTTCGATGTTTTGAAAATCCTTGGTAAACCTCAGACACCTCCACTTACACCACAAGCACCACAACCTCAACAACTTCCACCACCCCTGCTGCGACAGCAGCAGGACCTGGACCAGCAGCAGGTCGCAGCAGAGCTAGACGCTTTACTTGTAGCAGTAGTGCTCGCAGAACTACTAGCTGGATCGTGCTTCTTACATCTGTTGTTCTGACCGCGCCTAGCAGCGTGGAAGCTAGACCAGCGTGGCGTAGCCGCCAACCTTGGCCCGGGCTGTCACGTGTCCTGGCGAACTCCTCCGAGTCCTTCCAAGCTTTGCTTCATCCATTGACAGCGGCGAGCGTGGCATCAACAAGCATGAAACTGCTAATTGGGTTGCCGCGTGCCTTCTCCCCGAATGAGGCAACTAAAACTACAAGCGCGGGAACCTTGCCAAGTCAAAGAGGAAACTCAGCAGACATGCTAGTGGCACAGCAGGATACAACCCATGCAGTGCCCTTTGCAGTTGCCATTGATGCCAACGTTGTCAAGTCTAAGACACTTCGAGACTTTTCCAGGCTCTTGCCATGGGCTGTCACTTTGAAGCTGCCGGGCTCCGTCTTATGCACGGAAGGCAGAGGGCGATGAATATCGCTTCCATCTTGACTGTCCAGAGTTTCCACGAATTCCAGACCTGAACTTCAGCGGACAAACAGGAGAAAATGTGGCAAATTACAGAAGTCAGAACTTTGGGGGCCAGGGGACTGCTGCCCACCACCAGCACACGGCTCGGGCGATGACGGCACCGCCTTAGCTGGACATCCATTGGCATCCAAATAATATGGATATGATGCATTACATACTTTATGTGTACATAATTCTTCCCTCATTTGGGAAGGAAGATGATGGCGAGTTGTGAATTACACGCTCTTCCAGGCGCCAGGCAGATCATGCTGGCGAGCCCCCACCTGAGATTGGGCAAGTTCTGGTTGCACGTATCTTATGACTTACTGGTTCTTAGCAGGGAATAGGGTAATATAGTCCCTTATCACATGTCCCCTTTTCCCCGACTTAGCCCCAGTAAGATGAGCCCAAGAGGGATTTTTTTACCTGAGCTGCTATGAAGGAGATAAACCTGCTATCTGCGTGCTGAGACACAGTGGCCCGTGCTCTCCAGAAGCAGGCTTCCGGATGTCTTCGCCTGGTCGCAAACGCAACATTTGAGAGAGGAGAACCCCCCAGCAGCTGGATGATCCCAGGGGTTGTACCCCAATAATGAAGAATCAAATGGGATGGACAAGAAAATGGAAAATAAAATGACATTGTATAGGGGTAATACTTTGATAATGGGAATGGTAACAACATGGCCGTAGGCAAGCCAAGTCTGACCTCCGAAATCAGCGCGTCTGTCTGCTTTCTGGCTTCCCGCCCCTGTTGCTGACTGTCCGTGGCTAGCAGGCCTGAGCAGCAGCGCAACCCAGAAGGAAACGATCCAAGTACAAGCATCCGAGCAATCTCAGGCACAAGCTTCGGACTGTGCCTATGGTGGAAGTGGTGAAACCGTCCATGCCTCCGGTGGCGTGTGCCCGACCTTCAGATTCGCCGTGATACCGCTGTACGTTAATTAGACCAAGGCTGCAGCTGCTTCCCAGCATCGCTAATTTTGCTCTGGAGCAGCGACCTCTTTGGGCTCACCTTCTGCTCACAGCACATGGAATGCCCTCGTCCTTTTGCTCTTGCACGCTATACCCAGATCCAGTGCATCAAAAGACGAGAGGCCGATCTGTTTGCTTCTGCAGCAAGTTTGCTCGACTTTGTGTGATGTCCTTGCTGCTCCATGGGCTGCAGGGTCGAAATGCAATTAGATGATATTTGATGCACTAAACTTCTGCGCCCACATCTACAAAAAACTTCTTTGCCAGGCCTCCAGCAATATCCCTCAGAGTCGGGCGAGTGCCGGTAGACTCAGTGAGCAATACTGCAATCAGGATGCGAGCCAAGCCTCAGACTTTGCATCCAGCCCAGAAGCACCGCACACCGTACCGGAAAATGAATTGATGTCTGCTCGGCGGATCAGAGGCGAGCTGAAACAAAACACGATACTTGGACATGCGGTGACTCTCGTTTCACCTCAGTGGTTCCTATCTGGAATGCTCTTCAGCCGCCAACCTGCATTCAGTTTTCCTGAAAGAAGGAAGAATGAAAGCTGACGAAGGCGTTGTTCGAGTGAGCTGCCATCATAGTAGTTTCCGGTCATTTTTTCCGTTATCCCAATATAACCCCAATATTACGCCAATATGGACCCTATATTACCCTATATAACCCTATCTAAGTAGTAGTAGTTTCCATTTTCTTTTCCATTATCCCAATACAACCGTTGGGGTGACCATCGTCAACGGCCAGCAGGATCGAGACGAGAAAATCCGCGGAATGACCAATCGGTACTATGGGATTGCTCTCTTATATTGGGGTTAATAATGGCCAGTGAAATGGAAAAGAAAACGGAAACTGGGGTTATATTGATAGAATGCTATGACCTCAGGCTTTAGGTGGTGGGGGTTGGCAGTCCTGCCGTGCGACAGCAGCTGGCCTCCATTTGGTCTAAGTCATGCCGTGAAACGGGGCTAGAAAGTGCACAGCGCTCTCCTTCAAGCATTAAACAGAGGGAAAAGAATACAGAGACGGGGAGCTCCACAGCATTCATGCTGTGAGTACCCTCACTACGTGCCGCTCAAAGCCAAAAGATGCATTCATAGCTCTTTGTTTGCTAAGGCAACAAATTTTGAATGTGCACCTTGCTTTGCTATGGGCTA